TGGGGCTCGCTGCCTGGGAACCTGCTTGGTTTTCCCTCACCTGAGCTGATAAAAATAGAGGTGGGTCCATATGAAATAAAGGTAGATCCACTTCTTGTTGCTGGTGAGACTGCTGACCCTGCTGCTATAAACACGATTGTCTCTTTTCTCCTCCCTCCACATCACTCCAGGCGCTCCCGACCCCACTGCTGGGGCCAGCATCGATGACGAGAACTGCTGGCACTTGGATGAGGAGCAGGTCCGAGAGCAGGTGAAGCTGTTCCTATCTCAGGGAGGGTACTACGGCTCGGGGAAGCAGCTCAACTCCATGTTTGCCAAGGTGAGGAGGAGCCAGTTGCTCTCTCCCCTCTCCGCTCAACGCGTCACGTAGCCGGCAGCTCGCCGGCTGCCCTGGCAAGGTGCCCATCACAGCTGGGAATCTCTGCTCCAGTGCCTTTTCGCCCGGTCGCAGAGCAGGCGGTTGTAATCCAGGCTCTGGGTCAGGCCTGCATTGTCTCACTCGCTCTCCTGGCAGGTCCCTTCCTCCCACGCCACGGGCTTGCTGTGGTCCCTGCGTGAGGGAGGGCTTTTCCCCATCTCCCCATCAGCACGGTGGGGGGAAAGCCAACCCTGCAGAGCCTGCTGAGACCATGGAGAGGTGGCACCAGCCTACTGGCTTTGCTCTTTCTTTGCAGAAGGGCCTTGTTTTCATGTTCTTGATTGCTTGGTCCTCTTCACAGCCTAGGCTGTGGCTGTTACTCAGCTGCACTCCAACCAGCCAGGTCACAGCCGTTGCATGAGTGTTGTAATGTATGACTATACATTATATGCATGTCTATATTTGCAGTCTAGACCTCCAGACTGAGGGAGCTGTGGCTTGCCAGCCAGGTAACTGTGTATTAAACACCTCCAGGGGACCATGGTTTGTCTCACAAAGGACCTTCTCTCTATCCTTTCCAGGTTCGGGAGATGCTGCGCATGAGGGACTCCAATGGGGCCAGGATGCTGACATTGATAACGGAGCAGTTCATGGCCGATCCTCGGCTTTCCCTCTGGAGGCAGCAGGGGACAGGCATAACAGAGAAGTGCCGGCAGCTCTGGGATGAGCTGGGTAAGGGTCACCACCTTGCAGAGAGCAGCAGCAGGGTTGCCTGGGCTGCCGGGCCAGCAGACATCATCCCAGAGGCTTTTGGGGCTCTTTTTTGGGAGCTGAGGCCCTGAGAGATGCCGGGAGTTTGCTCTATCCCCTGCTGGGGAAATCCTGGTGGGACAGCTGGATCAGGCCCCAGCTGCACAGTTCAACACCTTAAACCAGCCGCTGTCCTGCAAAGGAGTCAAGGACGATGGGTGCACAGAGCGAGGCTGGTGCCATGCTCATGCCAGCCTGGTGTTCGGTGTGCTGCTCTGAAGCCTTTGCGAAGGAGGCTGCGGGCTGGTGAGCCCCAGGGGCTGGATGTAGCCTGGAGACATGGAAGTGCTGTTTCTGGTGGATCTGTGATCTAGAGGGGAAAAGGCAGGTTCTCAAGTCTTGTCCCACCTAGCAGATTTCTGCCTGCTCTGGTGCGCGTTTCCAGGGTGAGGGGGGCCAGGATGGCCAGCACAGAGCCTAGCTTTAAGGGAAACACAGTTCTGGGTAATTCTAGCTAAGCACCTTAGACACCGGCTCAGCTGGCTGACGCTGTAATATCATTAAAATAAAACATTTAGATGACGTGGGCCCAGGGAGGTTTGTTGTGTGACGGAGTTATCCCAGCAGTTCTGGGCACTCCTGGACATCTGGGATCTCGGGTGAATGGTTTGACTGCTGTAGTTTCATGATGAGCAAGTTTGAGCTCCTCTGCAGCCTGCCAGCGGGACGTGCTGGGCAAGGACAAGGGCTCATGGGCTGGGACCAAAGGGATCTTGTAGAGCTGGAAGAAGGATGAGGGTGGTCCAGGATCCGGAGCACCTGAAACTGCAGCTGGGGTCACAGATGCTCATACCAAGTGCCCATCAAATGCAAATGTAGCCATGAGTCTGGAGAGCCTGGCTGAACAGCACAGACAAGGGCTGGGCAGGGGTGGGACGTCTTAGTCCTGTGTGAAGTTCCCTGGATGGAAATAACCAAGCCAGCTCTGGAGAGCTCATCTGTGCTTGCTTGCCAAGAAGATATTTCCAGGATTTTGGGATAGTGCAGCTAGATAGTTGGATTCACAAGGATCCTGGAGAGATGGCCAAATCCACCAAGCCAGAATTTCCACATGGAATAATGCAGACACATTGGTGAAACATGGGTGTGTGGTTGTCTGGGCAGGCCTGGACGCAGGAAGCAGTTTGCCCAGAATTACAGATTATTTGGCCAGACTTCAAACCTGCTGTCCAAGCCGAGAGCCCTCCCTCTCTTCCCGCACACATGAGGGGGTCGTGAGTGGTTTTCAATCCTGGCTTAACCACACAAGGACCAGGTTGGTGCGTGTAGTTTTGGTCAACAGAGCGGGAGGAGGGGACAGCATGTCCCCATCAGCAGATGGATGGCAAGGTGGCTGGGGAACGTCGGGGCCTTACCAGGGCTGCATCAGTGGGACAGCAGGTGAAGCGTGGTGCCAGCCAACAGACGTCAGAGCGACCGGCTCGCGTGTTGGCACGTCACGCCAGAGGGATTTGGGCATCTCCACGCTGAAGAGAAGCCCTGTGGAGGACATGGTGATGGTCCAAGAAGCAGCTCCAGGGCAGGATGGGCATGGACTATGCTCAGAGCAGGGATTTTTTGTCCTGTCTTACAGAAGCCTTTTGGGTTTGGACCTGGGCAGTGTTTGCTGTGAGAACAGAGCATCCCTCTGAAGGGAGGGACCAGGGCCGTGGTGAGTTGGTGGTGTTCACCGGTAACGAGCATCAGCAATGCAGAGAGATGCCCCAAACCATCGCTGGGCGGGTAACAGTAGCCAGGGTGTGTGGGACAGTGAAGGCATATTGTCCAGCTGCCCGTGGGCTGTGGATGCCAAAGCTGCCCGGTGTTACTGCTGCTGCCAAAGGGAGGGACCGGGGGGCCGGTGCCAGCTGCCGTGGGAAGCCCCGGCACGGACTGCATCCCCCTGCCACGTGGAAGAGAAAAACGAGCCTCGCGGAAATTATTTTGGGCACGCGTTTAATAATTAATCATTGATTTTAGCAAAGACTGCATCACAGACTTGCGTGGGATTGGAAGAAGATCAGCCTTAAAGAAGATTGTGGGTTTATGCTGGGGGAAAATGTAGAGGATTTTGCAGGATTTCAGAGTTTTAAAAATACATATATAAATAAATAAAAAGGGCATCGTTTGCTTGCGCGCGTGCTGCCAACTGAACATCTATTGCCCCGTCTGCTGGGGAGCCAAAGGAAAGACCTGCTGGATGGGAGAGCTCTGCGGCGTGGGAGTATTTGCCCTGGTGCTTTAGTACTTACGATTAAAGCCTAATTACAAAAAATAGACGAAAAACCAGCTGAAGTGCAGCCTGACCTTAATCTGCCTGGAGACGGGTTTATTTATCTCGGCCACTTGTTTACAGTGGGGAATTTCAGCAGATTAAGCTGAGGAGCGACCCTGTGGGAAACAGGAGAATTTCTTTGATGGTTTGGAAACTTGGGCGCGGGATCGGAGTGCCTGTCCTCTCCAGGGCCAGCAGGCGGGACCGCTGGGGTGGGAAGGCTCCAACCCCCCCCGTCCCTGCACCCAGCCCTGTCATCAAAAAGCATTTTTGTTTAGAGGCTTAGCTTAATCGTGATCTGCTGCTTTGTTCCCCACTTAACCTCCTGCTAGCAGAAAGTTCAGATGAAGGTTTCTGCAGTGTGTGAACAGACGTGGAGTCTGACCCGGCGTAGTGTTCTGGCTCGGGACAGGAGTCGCTTGCGCTGTTAGCTGATGGCACTTGACCATAGGGCTCAGAAAACCCCCTCTTTTCCATCTCCCAGATAACTGTCACAGCTGAAACAGATGCAAATCCCTCGTCCCTCCTTGTCTCCACCTCCCTGCCACATCTTCCCTTCTGCTGGAGAGCCCAGGGGCACAGTGTTTTGGCAGGCAAAAGATGCCTCGGAGGGCTCCCAAAAATAGGCTGTGAAGTCATGAGGCTGCCAAGGATCGCTCCTTAGCCAAGCTGTAGGAGCCAAAAATCCAGCGGGTGCATCCCGTTCCTGGGGGCAGTGGAACTGAGCACGGAGCCTCGTTACCGCCTGCCAGCCGAGCCACTCTGTGCCGTCAGAGGTGTGAGCCGAAACTGCTGGAGGCTGCTTTTTGCACAAGTAGCCCTGGAATGGGTGAAGAGGAGTGTTGACAAAAGGCAGGAGCCCTGGTGGGAGAGGGATGCCCAAAATCAGTCGGAGCCCCAGGTTGCCCAATGCCAGGAGCTGAGCACAGGATTTTTAGCTCGTGCCCACCCAAGGTGGAGAGTTTTATGCCCTCGGGGTGGCAGGTGCCCACCGCTCAGCTGAGGGGTACTAACCAGAGCCTTAAGAACTCATTTTTTTGGAGCCGAGTCCAGACTTTTTCAAAGATGCCATGGCTGTGCAACCCCTGTGGAGCTTGCAGGGGCCTGGGAATGAGTGACAGACCTTCTCTGGGAGGGACGAGCCCTGGGACCCCCGAAGGAGTCATCTCTGCTCTTGCATGTGCATTAAGCGCTGACGTTGCAGCTCAAAAGTCTTACTCCCCTCCTGTTCATCAGAAAGGAGTGAGGGTTCGGTGGCGTTTTCTGGGAGCAGCGGAGCGGAGATGTGGATGGAGCTGGACCTGGTGAGGGCTGCTTTGAATATTTGCTGATCTCGAGTGCCTGTGGTTGCTCTTCCTGTGCCTATTCCTGGATGAGATGCTGCTGCCACCATCTGTGTTGTGACGCCATGATGTGTCTCCCGCTGAGCCAAGCCACTCCAAGGAGCCGGACGTGCGCAGCCTCCGCATCTTGTTAATGATTTGAACCAGACGTGTCCACAAGTCCCAACTGGTAGAGGATGGGGTCCTGGGAGACGCAGCCCAAAAGCACCACTAAAGCTCAGCTATAACCCAGAGGAGTGGGGAGACACCAGAGTCTGGACATTGCTGCTCAGCCTGGTTTTGCCTCATGCTGCCTGGAAAAGGGACCGGCTGCTCTGGTTGCCTGTGTTGGAGTCACAGCCTTGCTCAGGGCTCTCTGGCTCTGCGGCCCAGCTGTGCAGCTGCGGAGGGAGCCATGTCAGGTGATGATGTCCTGCCGCTGGCTCTCACCTTGGGATGGGAACTTTGGCTCTGGAAGTGGTGGAGGGGTGGGGGAGAGCAGCTGGCTGGGTGGGGAGAAGGAAGACGCTCCAGGTCTCCGCTGGGCCCATGGAGAAGAGGCCAGGGAGGGCGTTCCTGCAGGAAGCCGAGCTGTCCCAGGTGTGCGACAGGATCCAACACAGGCAGAGAGGAGCAGCACAGGCTGCTCAGCCCGGGCATCACTGCACACCGCAGCTGTGCCAGCACGCAGCCATGCCACCCCGCCCAGCAGGCACGAGGGAGGGGACGTGCTGCATCCTGGCAGCCTCGCAGGGAAATCTGAGCAGAAATGCGATTAGCTAAAGGAGAAATCATGGTTTTGCACTTGTTCGGGTTGCTGCAGCCCTTTTCGGAGCAGTGGGTGACCCAGGAGAGGTGGTGAGGCTCGGTCAGCAGCACCAGTGTCAGCCTTGTCTTAATGAGCTGGATCTTCATACTGACAGATGTCCTTGGGCCTGGTTCTGTCTCTCATGCAGTAGATGGCAATGTCAGGCCTGGGAGATCCTGCGGTTGATCTGGAGGGTGTCCGCACGCACGTCCTACTGAAGGACACCTCCGCTTGCAAGGTCCAGAGGGCTTACACCTCAGAAGGCTCTTGTCTGCAAGACACGGAGCCAAGCTCCAGGTTCCTCTGCTGGTTCCTCTGCAGGGTGGGGGCTACTGGAGATTAAAAAAGAAAAAGGAAAGGAAAAAAAAAAAAAGGGAAGAAAATACACCAAATCTCCTTTTTAAACAGTTGAATGCAAATGGCCTGAAGAACAATGACAGATGAAATAGCATTCGGAGTGGGCTTTAAAGTGCTTGGAACGTGGGTAGGATCAAAATCAGGTTAGTCTTTGGAGATACAGACTCTGCAGCTTGCCAAGGTGTTTTTAAGCACGCTTTGATGTGTAGTTCAAACATTAGATTTGTCCTGGCAGACAGAATCACTCACAAATTCATACACAGCCGCTCTCTCCTTCCCTCCTCCCCACTGTCCCCCATCTCATGAGATTATAATTTAGCTTCGTTACAGAGGAGTTTTACTTTTATTTTAAAAGCTGTCTAAATCCCCCTCCTGGATCCATGCATTATGCCGAAATGAGTTTCTGGACGCCGATGAAACCTTGCAGGCTCTCATGATGAGCGTGGCAGCGGAAGAGCTTTGCCCGTGGGTATGGTGCTGGCACCTCCTTGATTTCTTGGCTTTGTTTAGGGGCGCTGTGGGTGTGCGTGGTGTTAAACCCACACTGCAAGCTGGAAGAGAAATCCTGCTGGCTCCGGCAGCTGCGCAAGTGGGGCGAGATGGACGTCTGTCCCCTGGAAGATGGCAATTATGGTAACGAGCTTCCCAATATCACCAACGCGCTTACGCAGAGCTCCGGTCACAGCCAAGGTGAGTCCAGGCAGGGAGTGAAAATCCAGCCATTGGCCGCAGGGGTTGGGTCCGGGTCAAAACTTACCCCAGAGTTGAGAGATTTCACTTCACGTGCTGGTGGTCTCTGGGAGTCACAGGAATACAAAACATTTCTCTTTACAGCCTCTGGTTTTAGATGCACTTGGAAACGTTTAGCTCTTTGCCACATCTTGGGTGAAGTCACCTCTATTTTGAGCATCGAATTAGAGGCTGTTTTAAAGCAATTTGACCTTGGGGGAGTTTAGACCCCCCACGGTCTGTGCAGGTTTGGGTATGGAGTTTTACAGGCAACTGGTGCTGCTTGAAATGGAGCAGAGCTGAGCTGGAAAGCCCTGGCTGTAACATGAGAGTGAGGAGTTGGAGATGATGTAGAGCCCTTTTCCCAGCCCTTGAGCCTTGCTTCTGGGCTTTGATTTGGGTGGCAGGCAAGTCCTTAGCCAGGAACATTAAGCGCGGTTCAAATGCAGAGCACAAGCAGAGCAATGTGGTTACAGGGTTGTTCCTTCATGCTAAAATATTTTCTCAACCCCTGACAAAGCATTTCATCCCTTTAAATTTGAGTGATTTTCCCCCTTCTTTTGCCTGAAGTAGACATTAATTGAAAGTTACTGCTCTTGCCATGCTTCTGTCTGCTGCACTGGAATTGCTCTTTGGTGTGTTATGTGCGGCCATAGTGGGAAGAGGAGAGGGGGACAGCAGCCGTGCCATGGAGGAAATGTCACTCTTCTGGGTGGGATTAGTCCCTCAGCAGTGGTTCAGGAGTGTGGCTGTCCTGCCAGCCCACCCCAGCCATGGCCCAAATGGCATGCCCCGACCGTGTGCATCGTTGGGATGCGGCTTAATTTAAACCTGGCCTGGTTCCATGTCCTGCGCCAGCCCCGGGACACCCCCTTGGTGTTCCCAGCTCCACTGAGGATTCACTCTGGCATTTGGGGCAGGTTGCCAGGGCTGAGCAGGTCACTTTTTTTTAGATGAGCAGGGAGTTTCCGAAGCGCAGTTCTGGGACATCCCCTTGTCCCTGCGCTCCTGTCTCTCTGAGCAGGGGACTGAAAGCAGCGTGGATCCCGGAGGTGTCCCAGGGTTAATGTTTGTGCGTATGCAAATCCTGCTGCAGATTGTTGCCAGCCGCTTTTATTGCTGAAGGGGAACAGCTGATTCCTGAAATCCTTCCTGGTGAAGTGAGCAAGCTTGGTTCTCTACATACGAACACCTGTTTAATTTCTCTTCACCTCGGGGTGCCTGCAGCATTCAGGCTAATTGCTTGTTGCCATCGTTTCCGGAGCATGTTATTCCAGCCTCCCTGCATCAGCTCTGAGCAGTGCCTTTTGTTTTCCCCCTTGAGCATGTTTAACTTAGCCCATCCTGCGGGTTGCAGGACCTGACATTCAGCGTTGCATCCCCTTTGGGGCTTCCCGTTTGGCAGCCCACTGGCTGTTTGGCCCTTGTGATCTGGCACGGCTGGAGCAATTGCGGGATTGCTCCGGACAGGCCTTTTCCTCCTGACAAACCACTTGTCTGATTGGTCTGGATGGAGTGAAATGCTCATCCAGCATTCGATAGCTTCAGAAGTGTCAGCGTAGTTGCAGAGCAGACATCTGCTGTGGAGCGGTGGTGGGGTTTCAGACAATGCCTTCTCCTCCTATCCAGCCCTCTCGTGCAGCCAGAGGAGGTAGCTGGAAGGTGATGGTTTCCCCCATCACCCGCAGGCAGATGAGACACGCTTGTGCAGTTCCCTTCGTGGCTTCAGGTGCTGCTGATCTGAGCAGCTGTGGTTCAGTGAAGCTGGGACTTGGCACTGGAGCAGAAGAGGAGAGCTTGCGGTGCTGGCGGGGCAGTGACACCAAGGAAGCTCAGTCTTGAGCCCTGGCGGCTGCCTGCATGCTGAGCATCATGGGGTGGGATGTACTGCCATGCTTCAAAGCGTCAGCCTCATGTGTGACAGTGGATTATTGTCAGAAAGTGAATGGCTGGGCATTCCCTGCCTCTTTTCTCACTTCTCTAGCCATTCCAGCAAGTTACTGAGCGATGCATCCTAAGGAGACAGCAGTCTCCATCGGGGACGAGATGGGCAGGAGAGGTATCTAAAGGCAATCAGCTGCAGCACAGGAGCCAGAGCCACTGTACTCAGCTCAGAAACGGCTGTGGTGGGACCAGGTGGGGCTTTGCTCTCATAAAGGTGTTCTGCCGAGGGAGGTCATGTCTAGGGGTGGGAACAGGCTGCCCCTGCCCCGCCAAGGCAGTGATGGTTTCTCTCTTTGCAGACTCGCTGGCCAGGCCCAGACGAACCGTGTTCACCCGAGCGATCGAAGGCTGTGACCTCCACTGGCAGGACAGCCACCTGCAGCGCATCATCAGCAGTGACTTCTACGTGTCTCCCTCCTACCAGCGGGAGGGTGAGAGCCTCCTCTTCAACTCCCAGGGGCAGCCGCTGTGGCTGGGTAAGCATCCAAACCAGTGGCCCCTTGCATGGCCTGGGAGGGTAGGCTTGCTAGTGGAGAAGAGCCACCCAAGGCATCAAAGAAGCTTTGCTACCCTGGGTCCTTGCCAGCTTCTGCACCCTAGGTTGAAAGTGCCTCCCTGGCCCTTAGCCTGAGGACTAGGGCGAGCAGAAGAACTTGATTTCCTCCTACACCCCAGCCACAGTCCTTATAGCAAGCCCCACGTCTTTACAGTCTGATTTCCTCTTGGTCTGCTTGGACTAGGCTCTTCATGTCCTCCTGCATCCTGCCAGTGTTCAGCTGTCCCCAGTGCAAGCTGTCACTCTTCCCAGTACAGGGGGACTGGACACTTAAAGTTGTCTGGGGAGCACAGCTGTATCCTGTGGATTTTTTCTTCCCTGCTCTCACCCTCTCTTTAGTCTTCCCTTAGAGGCAATCAGCAGACAGTACAATTAAACCTCGTATGACCTTAAGGCACACTGGACCAGTCAAGCTCAGTACTCTTCTGTGTTGTAGACCTTTAGTCCACTTACCTCAGGCCACACAACTTCTCTGCTGCAAAGTAATGACACTGGGCAGATCTGCAGACCCTCGACAACTACGAATCTGGGATGAGAACAAGTGAGACAAAGGGCTTGGGAGGGAGGTGCCTGGTGTGGCTGTCAGTCCTCAGACTGACCCCAAAATGAGAGACGCAAGCCCCCCACACCTCCAGGAACGTGAGTGCCTCATCCCTGCAACCCAAGAGGTGAATGTGTGGACGTAGAACAGGTCAAAACCCACCACTGCACTGTCGTCCTCTCCGAGAGCTGGGGTCTGCTGTCACGCAGCCAAGTGGGAAGAGAGTATTTAAAGTCATCCAGAGGTGTGGTTTGTGAAGCAGCAGACACTGGGTTACTAAGGCCAGGAGATGAGTTAAAAAGGGCCCATGTGAAGGCTGCTGGTACACCTCTGCTAGCTTAGCTGGAGCAGGAGAGGACGTTTCTACTCTAGGAAGAGTTCTATGTAGCTGCAGGCAGCAGGTCTCCTCCCTGTGCAGTGGTGGGTTGGTGCTACCATGGACTCCATCTAGCAGTGACACGGCAACCACAGCTGCCCTGTCCCTAGCATAATCTGAGCCCTTTGGCCCAGCTGGTTCGTGCATGTTATTTTTCTGATGTGTTTGCTGTGATTTTTCAATTTTATGCTTTCACTGTCTTGGCACCCCATCAGGGACTTGGTGCTGGGAGAGGAGTGTGATTTGTCAGCAACCTCCAGTGATGAATTCAGCGAGAAGCTGAATATTTCATCCATTTAGCAAATGAATAGAGGGAGCAACAAGAAGCTGTTTTACTGATATATTTGTTCTGAAACCTCTTCCTCATGTATTCCTAGTGGATGACCTTTGGGACATGGAAACTCCATTTATGGAGGTGGTTGTCTGCCTTTCCAAAGCTTTCTGAGCTCTTCCAGGAATAGAAATTATACCTCTACCATAATTTTAGATCTGTGTTTCCCTTCCCCCCACTCCCACCCCTGGTAGGACATTTTGCAAGAAAATGAGATTTTCGCTGCTTGTTATGTGGAATGTCATGTCATCTACTCCTGCTAATTTCTCACTCAGTCATAATCCTCTCCACAGTTGCTTGTGATTTCAGGTGAGCAATGAGCAGCAGGAGCAGATGAATTCCTAAGCAACTGTGACTCTTGGAGGGGGGGGTGGTTCGTGCAACTGTTCCTAATAATAAAACACCAGGTAGAAGCTGCAGAAGAGATGAGGTGCCTGCAGAGCTCACTCCGTGGAGGTGTTAAGGAAGCCGTTCAAAACATCAGCCTAAATCTGCCAGTGCCCCCAGCTCAGTGATGGATGCTCAGCCTCACTCTGTGTATCGTCACCTGTGCTGTGAGAGCAGGGAGAAGTGTTCAATGAGATGCCAAGAAGTGTTCGGATGCACAGCAGTGAGAGAAATCACTCTTAAGTCATGCAGGTTTTAGGAAGAATGAGCGACAGGGTTGGAACAGCCTGTGTTTGGAGCCATCATATTGCAGTGATAGCATGTTGGAACTGCTTCCGCTAGATAAGGTTTGTGGAGGTGGGGATTTAGGTGCTGACGTGGCTGCTGTGGGTTGAACAAGGTAGGAGTCCCATTAGTATTCCTGGTGGGCATCCCTGCCAGGAGCAGGGAGAAAGGGATGACTTAAGGCAGGGAGCAGGAGGTTTAACTGGGGTGTGGAGAAGACCAGTGGAAGAAAATGCCTTGAAGGCTGATGCTGTCAGGTTCTCTTCACTGTTGGTACAATCCTGTGAGTATCTTTGCTCTTCTGGCTCAGCCATGCCCCTGCGTTTGTCCTTGCCTTGCAGAACATGTCCCGACAGCCTGCGCTCGAGTGGATGCCCTGCGCTCCCACGGCTATCCCAGAGAAGCTCTCCGACTAACTGTTGCCATAATCAACACCCTGAGACTGCAACAGCAAAGGCAGCTGGAAATATATAAGCATCAGAAGAAAGGTATGAGTAGAGCTATAGGAAGAGTGTCCCATGAGGTCTAGCTGGGGTGTCCCAGCTGTTTGAGAAAGTCTTCTCCATACCAGAGAGTGGTGCTGCCCCATCCAGAGCAACAGAGGTGGACGGTGGGCAGCGCCATGTGGGATTACTCACACGCTAGAAAGACGAACTGATGCGTCTGATTGCTTGAGCCAAACCGCGTTGGTACCCGCATGCTAAGGACAGAGAGGTGCCTACATGCTGTTTTGGGGCTGCTGGAGTAGGGATGTTCTTATTCCCACTGTCGCCGTGTCTGGTTGCCCATAAGGATTGCATGGGTGATGGTGGGTGATCCCTGCATTAAAGAGGAGCTGCCTGTCTGCAGAGCTGCAGTAACTGGCTGTCGATGCTGCCTCCACCTTGCAGCTGCTGAGCAAAGATCAGTGTTTCTCCTGTTGCAATTGCAGTTGGCAGAGAGCTGGGCTTCGTTGCCGCAGTGGTAACTCTTCTGGGCCTTGCTAGCTCAGCCAGCTTGAGATCATTGAAAGATGGAGCTTTTAAGACTCACTGTGAGTCTTTGTCGTCTCCAGAGAGATTTCTGATTGTGTTTCCAAAACGTTCAGGCTACTATTGCCAATGAGTCCATAAGCTGCAGGTCTGACCTTATAGACCCCATCTTGGGACTCTGCAGCCCCTCATGTCGTCCTGGAACAGAGGATGAACCGCTGCATCATATGTGGCCTTAGGGGCACCTTTTTTTGTTGGGTGCTGCTCCCTCTGATGCCTGTGGTAGCCTGCAGGGTGGCTGCTTTGAGCTACTCCTTGCCCTTGCAAGCTCCTGTGACCGAGTCAGCCCTGGAGGTCCCCATGTCCCAGGCCAGTGGGGTAAGAAAAGGCCTTTGGTCTCAGAGACCTCTCTGGGTGCAGAACCTGTCTTTAAATTCCTCACTTTTAATGTTTTTCTGTTCTGTATTTTTGCAGAGCTGCTGCAGCGAGGAGCAACAACCATCACCAACTTGGAGGGCTGGGTGGGCCACCCTCTGAACCCCATCGGCTGCCTCTTTCTCACCCTGACTGAAGCTTGTAGATTAGAAGAGGAAAATTGCCTTGAAATTTCAGGTACTGAGCACTCCTCCAGGATCCCTTCCCGGTGGCAGCGGCTGAACCGAAGACCGGTTGGCAGGCCCTGGGTGCAGGTCTGGGGCTCAGGACTCCTGGGCTCCAAATCTCCCCTCTCCGCCTTTGCAGGAGCAGCCAAGACAGCGCTGCAGTGCAGAGAGGGGGAGTTAGTGCCCTGAGTTTTCCCAGTGACATTTCCCAACCCAGTTTTTCTGGTTTGCAGCCAGAGCAGAGCAGGAGAGTGGCTTAGCAGAGCTGGGTTGAGGCGTGCCAGCCCACGGGAAGGGTCTGGAGTCAGCTGTGCACCCTGTTGCATGGGTCTCAGGTCTCCTAGTGAGAGCAGGAAGGAGGGTAAAGCCCACATCTCCCGCAGGGAGCTTTTATCCATCCTCTTGGTGTAACTGAAGGCGGGCAGAAAGGGAAGTGTGGGTCTGGCTTCTGAAGTCAAGAGGTTTTTCTCTCTGCCGTGGTTCTGCCACCTAGGAAGGCTCTTCTAACCCTGCTGCATCTCTTCCCCTTCTTCCAGACACCGGGGACTCCAAACCCCCAGTGTATCAACACGTGCCCGTCGCTACTGGCAGCCAAGACAGCGGAGAGTCCTACCTATCCCTGGCCTTAGAGGTGGCCCTGATGGGGATGGGTCAGCAGAGGGTGATGCCCGAAGGCCTCTATGCCCAGGACAAGGTGTGCCGCAACGAGGAGCAGATCATTGCCCGGCTGCAGGACCTGGAGCTGGACCCAGTGCTGGTGCAGACCCTACGGAAGCAGTGCATCTTGCTGCTGGAAGGTGGGGGCTTGGTCCATCTAGCTGGCTCCTGTGCCTCAGCTGAGTGTTGGTACCATCTCCGGGTGCCCTTTCCAAGGTTTATGCCTGGCTGACTCCATCCTGGCTCCTTCTTTGGGTGTGGTGCTGAGTCTGTAGGATGGCTACTCTGGCCAAAGCAAGGGTTTGCTGACATGCCTGAAGTGAGACCACCTCAGAGGCATTACAGAGGAGGATGCTAACTAAGCATGTGGCCTCAGTTTCTGAGGGATTTTGAGCTGAAAGCATTTTTAGAAAAGAAAAGAGCAGCCCATTGCCCTGGACCCAACTCAAGTAATGCTCCAGGGAGCTGCTGAGCAGATCCTCAAAGCTTTGGGGTGGCGCAAACCCCAGCCACGGATCCTGCTGTGCTAATTACGGCTGACGGGCTCTGCTTTTGCCTAGGTGGTCCCTTCAGCGGCTTGGGAGAAGTCATCCACCGTGAGAGCGTCCCCATGCACACCTTTGCCAAATACCTGTTCTCTGCCCTGCTGCCCCACGACGCAGACCTGGCATACAAGCTGGCTCTGCGGGCCATGAGGTTGGTGCATGTTTTATTCTGTTGCCCCCTGTTTTGCCTCCCTCCTCTGCTCCACTGGGAAGCCGGAGTGCCTTGCAACCCGAGAGCAGGGATGGGTGCAGAGGCAGGCTCAGAGCTCACCATCCCTGCGATCATCCTGTGCAGTGTGTAGGGCTGCCCGGGCACCAAGCAGCAGGGCAAAGAGTCTCCTGCTCTCTGTTTGGGCAATTCCTGTTTCTTCATGCCCCATCCTTGGAGTCAATGCTTGAAGGACCCTCAACCCCAGAGCATCCCAGTGCCCTCCCCCTCTGACACCATGAAAAGTCTCAGCCCAGAGTATCATCTTTCTTGCAGTATTTCCTTGGTGAAATGAGCCATCTCTCCCCAATGTGGGGGAGAATTTTGAAATCCCCCTGTCATGAGCTGCTTAGGAGGACAGCAAGACCTAAAGAACAGCCGAGGGCCTCTGCAGTGTGTGGGGACACCATGCCCCACCAGACCTAAGACCTCCAGCC